CTATAAAAAAAGCTCCTTGATTGTGAATTGTCTTTTTATCAGCAGAAAGCCAGGATTGCATGGAATTTGCAAGGTGACAGGTATACAAGCTTCTTTCATGCTATAGTAAAATCAAACAAGCACAACAATAGAGTGGCTGTTCTATATAACAATCTAGGGGACAGAATCACTAATGGGGAAGAGATTGTAAATGAATTAATTACATATTACAAGAACCTTATGGGTACAACTGTGAATACAATTCCTCCAGACAGGGACATCATAAAATCAAGTCCTTGCTTATATGTTTCTCAAGCGAGTGCTTTATCTTCTCCAGTTACAAAGGAGGAAATAAAATCTGCTATCTTCTCTATTTTTGAAAACAAGGCTCCTGACCCTGATGGATACAATATGACATTTTTAAATCTTCATGGTCTGTTATTAGGGAGGAGATCACTTTGCCTATAGAGGAGTTTTTCAAGAATGAAAAACTGCTAGGTATGGTGTATTCCATGTTGGCCTTCTTGTTTTGATGATGATTTACAAACAATTTACATCTAATATTATTTGTCTAGTGTTTGTGTTTTATATTTATTCTAGGCAAACAATATGTTGGAGGATGGATGGAATGCTTCAACGATCATATCCAATGGAGGTTGGAGGAATAGTAAAGTGAAGCAATGTACATTCAAGTTAAAGATACTAGTTCAAGCTTCTTCCGTAAGTGTACCAAGTCAAGCTTATTGAAGATCAAGATCTAGCTTGGGTAATTTAGTTTAGGAGTTTATATTATGTGTGTTAGTACTTTAAGCTCAATCATATACACACATACACGTTTTGGTTTTGTATATATATAGTTATATATATATACATATATGTTTTGGGTTTAATTTCTTAGATATGAAACAAATATACTTTCATATACATACTCATATGTTTCATATTCTATTGTATTTCATATACATACTCATATGTTTTATATTCTATTGTATTTGTGAAAATATTATATTCATTGTTTATAGACTTCATAACAATAGTTTACATCTTTCTTCAAGTCTATAAAATTATTTTGTAATGTTTCAAAACATGGTTTTGCCAAAATGTCAAAATTTATATGTTTACATTTTCGTGTTTTGGCCTATTTTGTAAAATAATGATATTTTTTATTTGGGAAGTCCTTTTTGGAAACCAGTCATTGTAGCATGTTCATTTTCCAAAGTTTTATATTTTTTGGAATTTATTTGATATTTTTAAACAGGGTTTCAAAATCAGAATAACAGCTTTCAAAACCTGTTTTTAGTCTGTGTCTGTTCGCGGTCGACCGCCATGAGTTCAAGACTCAGGTTATGTTTTGTTGGCTCGCGGTCGACCGTGGCGGTCAACCGTAGCAAGTCCAGAGACTTTCGCGGTCGACCGTCGCAGTCGACCGTCGCTTGTCCAGAGCCATAGTTCTGTTTTTTGTTGCTCGCGGTCGACCCCGCACTGTCATATCAGTTCTAACGGCTAGTTTCCAAAGCCGTTGCTGAGTTTGGTTTTTTGGTCTTTTCTTGGTTTTCTCTTGGCTTTGGGGTTTCATATAAATACCCCCTTATACCTCAGTTCTTATAGCAATCCAAGAAGTTTTTAAACAAGAGTTTAACAAGGGTTTAAGTTTGTTTAAAGTGTGTTTATAAGTTTTTAAGCATTTGAGTGTTTCGGTTTTGTGAATCAATTCCACAAGAGCTTGAGGAGATCATCTACATTGTTTGAGCTTCCTTTTAATCCATATCTCCATCTTGTTATTCAGAGAAGAATCTCTAAACTCATATCTAGCTATTTATACGTTTGATTTACATTTCCATAAGCTAGCATTTGTATTGAGTTTAGTTTGATTTTGATTTACTCATTGTTTACACACACACACCCACTTGAGCTTATTGTATTTACATACATAGTATATTTGGGTTGGTGAGAGTTGTAACAATTGAGTATGAGCTTTTATTGTGTTCTCATCCATATTAGAGAACAATCATTTATTGTAATTTGCTTAATCGTGAGATCACTTTGTAATACACTTGTACACCGAGAGGAGTGTGTGGTGAGAGTCGGGGATCATCCCAAGAGGAGTGGCGTCGGTTGACGAACCTAGGGAGAGGTTGTAACCGAGCACTTGAGGGAGACACGGCTAGGTCCAACACTTGTGAGGGTGTAGAGTGGGTTTGCAAGAGTGTGAGTTGTAGAGTTTTTGGTTAGCTAGAAAACCGAGTGTGTAGAAGTTCCGGCTTCCAAACCGGATTGTGATAGTGGATTTCTCCCCGGGAGTGGAGAGCGGAGACGTAGGACGGAAGGTCCGAACTCCGTGATTATTTGAGTGTGTTTGAGTTTGTCATTGGCGTATTTGCTTTTGCATTTATCTTATATCGCCAATTGTGCTTTGCTCGTTTTATTTCATCCACTATCTTGTTTATGTTTATTTTACCCTTGTGTTAGTTTATATATCCTTACATATATTTTTATCATATAGGATATATCTCATTGTTCATATTACTTATCCTAGCTCATATATCATGTTGTATTTTATACTTGCTAGGATAATTTGTTAATTAGTTTTAATTGGTATTTAAATTGGATTAGATTAGCATAAGACCCTAATCATAATCACCCCCCCCTCTAGGGTCTAACATTCCACTTCCATCTCTTTTATTCCTAAGATTAAATGCCTAAAAAACCCCTCTGATTTTAGACCTATCTCATGTTGTAATTGTCTTTATAAATTCATCTCAAAAGTCCTGGCAAATAGATGAAAACTATTATGGGGTATCTTGTGAATGATGCTCAGAGTGCGTTTGTCAAAGGGAGGCAAATTTCAAGAAATATCATGCTTGCTCATGAACTGGTTAAGAGTTATAGCAGGAAATACATTTCTCCAAGGGCAATGATAAATATAGATATCAGAAAGGCATTCGATACCATCAACTAGAGTTTCCTGGCAGAATTGCTTCATGGATTGGGTTTTCCAAATGTCATGATCAAGTGGATTATGACATGTATCTCTTCTCCAAGGTATTCTATTTCTCTAAATGGACCTCTTCATGGCTATTTCAAGGGTGAATATGGCTTAAGACAATGTGATCCTCTTTCTCCTTACCTCTTCATTCTATGAATGAAATATCTCTCAAGAAAGCTAGATCTTTTAAAGAATGACAGATTGTTTAAATTCCATCCAAAGTGTGGTAATCTTAAGATCACACACCTTATATTTGCAGATGATCTTCTCTTGTTCTCTAAAGGTGATCATTACTCTGTGCAAAAGTTATATCAATGTGTTATAGAGTTTAGTGAAATTCTGGTCTTGAGGCTAACCCTGAAAAATGTTCTATTTTCTTTGGAGGTGTGGATGAATCAAGTAAGTCCTCCATTAACAACTTCCTGGGGTTCTTTATAGGAGCTATGTCTTTCAAATACTTGGGAGTTCCCCTTACATCTAAGAGGCTATCTTTCATGGAATGTAACCCTCTACTCACAAACATTGAAAGTCAATTCAATATCTAGATGAAGCACAAGAATCTCTCATATGCTGGGAGATTACAAGTGATTAAGAGTGTGATACTTGGAATCCAAATTTTCTGGACATTAAATTTTGTTCTTCCTGTCAATGTTCTTCAGAGAATTGATGAGTTATACGGAAAATTTTTATGGAGTAAATCGAGCCAAGGTCCGAGGCCTCCTCTTGTTTCATCGGAGAGGGTGTGTCTGAGGAAGGAACAAGGTAGGTTGGGGGTGTTTTTGGCTCCTGTGTGGAATGTTGCTTCTGCATTGAGAAGCATATGGTATATCCATGTTAATAAGGAGTTATTGTGGATTAAATGGATCCATGATACATACTTAAAGCATAGGGATATTTGGCATGTAAATGCAAATCGGGAGATTCATGGATGTGAAAATAATTGATTACGGTTAGGGATAAAATTCTAATCTTCTATGGTGGAGTGGATAATTTGAAGAGCATGATCAGTTCCTGCTATGTAGGTGCAAAGATTAAACTCTCAGCCCTGTATCATGCTCTCTCTCCAGTTGCAAACAGAGTACTATGGTCGAAATTAGTTTGGGAGAGATTAAATACCCCTAAGCATTCTTTCATTTGTTGGCTGGCTATACAAAACAGATTGCTCACACAAGACATGCTTCATAGGTGGGGGATCACAAGCTCAAACTCATGTTGTCTATGCTCTGTTTCAGTTGAAACCATGGATCATTTGTTTTTTGAATGTGAGTATTCAGGCTGTGTATGGAATAACATCCTAGATTGGCTAAAGTGCAGATGGAAATCCTGTAATTGGCATCATTGTTTGAACTAGAACACTACCAGATTGAGAGGTAAGGGTTTTAATAAAAAAACTCAAGAGAATGGCCCTGTTACTTCTATATACATCATATGGCAGGAAAGAAACAACAGAATTTTCCAGCAAAAGAGCAAGGGTCCAGATACTTTAGTTAGAGAGATTAAGATGGAGATATTGTACTTTGTCCTCAACAGTCCTGATATTATCAAGGACTGTTTGTTTTGAGGGTTTGTATATACATGAAAACTTTAGTGATTCTCAGTAGTAAATAGCTGAGTATCTTGAGGTGTAAAAAACTTCCATACCTGGTAAATGAATAAAAATTTTCATTGACAAAAAAAAACGTGCCCGTGTGAAAAACAATTATTTTATCTTTTTATTTTAGAAACTATTCTCTTCATGTCTTAAAAATTGAACATTATTGCAAATTGGTTGCTTGAGTTATGTTATTTGATTTACATATTGCAAGTAAATATAATAGAGCTAGACTTAGTATTTGTTGCATTGTTTAGTTGTAGTTAGCTCAGATGAATTCACAACTTGAAAACTCAATCAATTTCAAAGAAAAATAGAGTCTGGACATGGCAAATGAATAATATCTTAACCGAAGTACTTGTTGGCCTTCTTGTTTTGATGATGTTTAACAAACAATTTACCACTAATGTTGTTTGTCTAGTATTTGTGTTTTCGTATTTATTGTAGACAAACAACATAGTTAGAGGATGGATGGAATAGCGCTTTAACGACGATATCAAATGGAGGTTGGCGGAATTGTGGAGTGAAGCAACATAGTAGACAAACAACATAGTTAGAGGATGGATGGAATAGCGCTTTAACGACGATATCAAATGGAGGTTGGCGGAATGTCGGGTTGAAGCCTTGCAATTCAAAGTTAAAGATCAAGTTCAAGCTTCATCCGCATGTGTACCAAGTTGAGCTACAATGAAGATCAAGATCAAGCTTGGGTAATCTAGTTTAGATTTTATATTATGTGTGTTAAGTACCTTAAGCTCAATATCATATACACACACGTATTTGGTTTCTATGTATATATATAGTTATATATATACATGCATGGTTTTGAGTTTCATGCTTTGGACACACTTGCAAAATACATGAGTTTTCACAAATGGAAATTAAATTTGAGAAATTCTCTTTCTAACATGTTTGTTTTCATGTTTACAAATATTTCGCAAAGTTTCATCAAGTTTAGAATTGATTTGTTATGTTTAATGGAATTTACAAAATCATGTTTTCGTTCGTGCACATGTTCGTGCATGTTTTACAAAACAGATGAGTTTTCACAAATGGGAAGTGATATTTGAAAAATTCTTTCTCTGACATGTTTATCTACATGTTTAGAAACTTCCCTCAAAATTTTACTATTTTTGGAGTTGATTTACTATGCCTAATTGATTTTACAAAATCGTATATGTTACAGTTTTTCAGAAACTGTAAATTTGTGTTCAAATATTTATTTCTCTCAACTGGGAAAATATTTTTCAGAAATTCTTTCTCTGACATGTTATGTTACATGTCTAGAACATCCTCACAAAATTTCATAATTTTTGGAGTTCATTTACTATTTTAAATTGATTTTACAAAACATCTGCGCACTGCTACAGTAACTCCGGTCGACCGGACCGGTCGACCGGAAATGTCTCTGGACGTTTCTCAGCTTTGCAGATGGCTCTCGGTCGACCGTACCGGTCGACCGAAGTACTGTAGCATCCGACCGTTGCTACAGTAACGGCTAGTTCTGTTTTTTTGTTTATTTTAATGTTTTGGGGGTGTTTTTATTGGTTTTTGGGGTTGTTTCATGAGCCTATATATACCCCATGCCCTCATACCTCTAAAAAAACTCAAGAAATATTTTAAACAAGTTTAAAGAGTTTTAAACAAGGGTTTAAGTGTGTTAGTGTTTGTTTTGGTTTATGAAGAAGTTTTCACAAGTGGAGGAGATCATCTTCTTGTTTGGGCTTCATATCTCCATCTCTCCATCTTGATCTAGAGAAGTTTTCCTAAACTCAAGTCTAGCTTTTATTTATAATTATTTGTTGATTATCATTTCTATTAAAGCTAGTTTTATATTGAGTTTAGTTTGATTTGATTTACTCTTTGTTTGCACACACAACCATTGAGCTTATTGTATTTGCATACATTATATAATTGGGTTGTGGGATAGTGTGACATTGAGTTGAGCCTAATTGAGTTCTCACCTTGTTAGAGAGAACAATCATTTGCTATATTGTGCTTAATTGTGAAATCACTTTGTAATACACTTGTACACCGAGTGAGGAGTGTGTGGTGAGAGTCGGGGATCGTCCCAAGAGGAGTGGCGTCGGTTGACGTGCCTAGGGAGAGGTTGTAACCGAGCACTTGAGGGAGACACGGCTAGGTCCAACACTTAGTGGGTGTAGAGTGTGATTGCAAGAGTGTGAGTTGTAGAGTTTTCGGTTAGCTAGAAAACCGAGTGTGTAGAAGAAGTTCCGGCTTCCAAACCGGATTGTGTTAGTGGATTTCTCCCCGGGAGTGGGGAGCGGAGACGTAGGACGGAAGGTCCGAACTCCGTGATCATATTGCTTGTTTGAGTGTGCTTTGGCGTTCATTCATATTTATGTTCATATCTTATATCGCCATTGTCATTAGCTCATTATCTATATCATCCACTATCTTGTTTAGATTGTTTACCCCTTGTGTTAGTTTACATATCCTATACATATATCATATTGTATATCTCTTTGATAGGATATATCATCTTGTGTTAGCTCATATATCCTTGCATATATCTCATAGTATATCTCATTGCTAGGATATTTACCTTTGTTCATTTTGCTTATTCTTGCACATAACTCTTGTATATCTATCTTGCAAGAATATACTTGTTAATTAATTTTAATTGGCATTTAATCGGATTAGATTAGCATAAGACCCTAATCACCCCCCCTCTAGGGTCTAACAATTGGTATCAGAGCTTGGTGCTCTTTGATTTAAGGTCTAATCGCCTTGAGTTAAAGATCCAAGTTAGCTTACTGTGCTAATCTATTTTTGAGCTTTATTTTATCATATAGTATATTCATCATATAGGATATATCTCATTGTTTATATTGCATATTCTTGCACATAACTCTTTGTATATCTATCTTGCAAGAATATAACTTGTTAATTAATTTTAATTGGCATTTAATCGGATTAGATTAGCATAAGACCCTAATCACCCCCCCTCTAGGGTCTAACAATTGGTATCAGAGCTTGGTGCTCTTTGATTTAAGGTCTAATCGCCTTGAGTTAAAGATCCAAGTTAGCTTATTGTGCTAATCTAATTTTGAGCTTTTATTTGTATCTTGCTTGCCTTTTATATTATGGATATGCATGGTTTAGGTTATGCCATTAATATTGCTCCTAGGTTAGATAATTTCCCTTATGCCCAATGGTGTGTTAGATTTAAACTTTTTGTTCAATCTAAACACTTTGATTTATGGGAAATTATAGATGATGCCTATATTGTGCCCACTATGGAGAAATCCAAGTGGAATAAAAATGATCATCGTATGTTTACTATGAACAACATTTTGTTAGAATATTTGCTAAATGCTTTTAACTCATCTATGTCTAACAAGTTTGTTCATGTTGATAGTGCTTACACCTTATGGAAATTAATTGAAGCACATCAAGGGGACTTGGAGGCGATCCAACAAGTTTTGGCGGATCCGGCTTCAAGTTCATGTGGAGCATCATGCACACGGCCACTAGGCGATAGCCCTAGTGAGGTTTGCGAGTTCGAAACCATAAATGATTTACCTAATGATGAACTTGCTTGTGCATATGATAGGTTAATGCATGCCTACACTAAGTTGCATAATAATTTCATTGATCTTAAAAGCAAGCATGTTAATTTGAAATCCGATCATGAATTGCTAGCATCAAAATTTGATACTATTGCTAAAGATAATGTGATCCTTAAAGAAAATAATAAAAAATTAAAATTGGATCATATTACCTTGAGTTCCAATGTTACTAGCTTAATTCATGAGAAGAATGATGCCATGTTAGAAGTAGAGTCTATTAGAAGTAAAATTACATCATTTAAAAATGATCATATTTGCTCTACTTCTATTGACAATGCTTCTATGCCTAATGATGAGTTGAACAATATTAAAAATCGTATTTCATCTTTAGATTCAACTCTTAACACATGCATTGTTAATAACAAGAAACTTATGGACTTATGTGCAAAGTCTCGTGCTAACTCTTCAAAACCAAGCACTCACTATGCACATATGTATAGCAAAGTTTACAAATGCTCAATTTGCGGTCGTAAAGGCCACATTGCTAAATTTTGCTATGATGCACACAAATCTTCTAAGATTAATGCTTCTTGTGCATCTCATAAGGCTTCTTCATCACACACACATGCACATGCATCTATTTCTCATCATAAGCATGTTAATGTGTATAAATGTGATCTATGTGGTCGGTTTGGCCATTTGGCAAAGTTTTGCTTTGACATGAAAAAGAATTCTAGTTTGCCAAATGTTTTTCATAGACCACATGTGTTTAAGTGTGATATTTGTGGTAGATTTGGCCATTTGGCAAAATTTTGTTATGATTTAAAAAATTATTCAAACTTGCCAAATTTCTCAAGTAGACCACCTTTGTTTAATGATGGTTCTCATTTGCAAAATAATTCTAAAAGACAATCTTTATTTGCAAATGTTCCACGTGCACCTTTTAATGGTCAACATAAGCAAATGCTTCCTTTCCATTGTACATATTGCAATCGGAAGGGTCATTTGAGTAATTATTGCTATGACCGATCCCGTGCACCATATATGTCCAAGAGGGTTCATAACCCTAGGACTTTGAGCTTTAATGATAGGGGTCATGTCCCTAAATCTTTTGGTACCAAGAATACTTGGGTACCAAAACAAATTTGATTTTAAACCAAGAACTTTAGTGTTTTTATTTTTTTTGTCTTGGTTTTGAAAATTATGTTTTAAGATCTTTTGGTTATGAAAACAAATTTTCTTTTATCAAATCTTTTGTTTTCATGATTATTAGTTTTGATTTTGATAAGAGGTTTGTATTTATATAACCCTCCGGATTTATTGGGTGTTTATTCCCAAATCATGTTTACCGGATGCTAAAATGATTATATGGGTTGGAACAAGCTCAAGAGCTTGATATAATTGTTGCCTCTCTTAAAAATTGTGTTTTGATTTGTT